CTACACTTGTTTACTTCCTACGCCTACTTTATTGTTCAACCATCAATTTCTGAAGCCAAATTGCCAGAAATTATCTTGTTACGCCTTCACAAGTAAAGACAATTTTCCCAACCAATAAAGATGATGTTTTAAACATTCATTGGGATTTAAAACAATCATTTCAACTGTATTGCCTTGTCTCGGTGAATAAATAACCTTTCAATCATAATATCGCTCTGTAAATTTATAAAGAATGCTCTAAAGAAATCTTAATAAAATCAAAGTCATTTCTGCTGTCTGTACGCTAGATTTATTAAACTATGCAACGGTTTTCAATGCAGTCTTCAGCAATAAATAAATTGATTCAAGAGGAAGGTTAATGTTATTTATTAATTTATTTAATTAATAACAATCATATCTCTAACATTACAGGTTACCCCAATGTTGTGTTGAATGTGCGAAGTTGGGGCGGGTCCCTAGTTATAAATAAGATCTAGATATTTCTATAAATAGTCCCCGAAAGAAGCGCCTATTCAGACATGACGTCTATATCGAAGGCAATGTAACTACCCGCCTCACAACGACCCCAGAGACATTTTAGTTCTAGGTTCGCTCACTTTTATGTCACAAATGCAGTACAATTAACTGCAGGGTGTGGAGCTCCTTGCCAGTTTAACCATCATCTTATCAGCCAGTAGTTCTGCTGGTTCTTTAATTATTTTTAAAGCCTTTGGTTTTTTATCTATATAATTTAGGGAGTCTTGCTAAAACGTAGTCGCTAGCCGAGGGTCCATTTATTACATCTTCTGTCGGATTTACGACAATATGGCACGGGGATATGGCATGGACTTGTAAGGATGACAGACTCAATAAAGTTTAGTCCAAAGGCGTGTTTCCATTAGTCACCAAGGGCAATTAGATGTCAGCGTTATTTGGCCCTATTTTCTTGCGGTTACACCCATTATTGCTCTAGCGTTCTTCAATAATAACCTATTCGTTATGTAGTTATTACATTATTTATTTAATTTAATATAGAGCTGAGCAAATAAGTCAAATTCTTATCATCGGAGAAACCAAATCTATCTCATATCATTAAAGAAAACCTTCACTAACTTGCAAAGCTTCAGTCACATTTGTGAAAACAGCTGATAGATTTTTGATTGATTAGATAAAAATGATGGTTAATGTCAAGTTGACATTGTCAACATAAACTTTACTGAATAATAGTGGTAGAGTTAGAAAGAACAATGTGTGAACCAGCCAGCTATACCTAAAGAACTTGAAGCGTTACTCACGGTACATTGGTTTTGTTTGTCTTGCGAACTCCGAGCGTAAGGTTTTACAACGGCTATCTAGTAACTTCGAAGTGCGAAAAAAATAAAACTGAAAACAAATGCTAAAACAAATAGAGCAGCTAAAATAAAATAATGAGGTGTGCTTTGGATGGACTTTTGCCATTTAAAGAGTACTAATTCATTTCAATCGCTCTATGTAAGATCGTGGTTGTATCACGGTAGTGAATAGAGAAGAAATTGCCCTAAATAAATATTTAAATCAAATTAAATGGATTTATTTATTTATTAAAATATGGGTAAAATTTACCCATTAAAACGCTAAAGAACATACCAATAATATACATACCATGTATTGGTTAAGGTATACAAGTGTAAATGTTAATGTATGTTTTAAGTTCAATAAATTATTTGTATTTGTATTTGTAAAGATATTGCAATAGAAAATAATAGAATAAGGAGAACAGATGCATTTTGCATTTACAAAATTTTATGTATTTGCTTTGCAAAGTCTTCAAGCGCTTCAAAGTCGTGCGTAATATATTAACCTATCATCTTCACACCTGTCAATGTCATTGAAGTAGAAGTAGTATGATCATATAGCTAATGCAGCTACTATCGAGGTTATAACAGTAGTGATCAAAACCCTAGGTTCAGACCGCGAGCCGCCATATGCGTCTGAAATGCCCATTATGACCTCCAAAGCCTGAATTTAGGTATGTTCTGACAATCAGCTGTTGACGTTATTTAAATAGTTATGGATATTAAATGTAAACATTGAATGTAAAGATATGGATAATAATTGAAACGGTTTCAATTAAGTGGTGTACACTGTACGCTTACCGCTAGCTTACAGTGTACAGTTAAAGTGGTGGTGTAAGCTAGCTAAGCTAAGTGGTATAAAAACTCAGAAATATGCGACATATTTACGAGGTATTATTTGTCATGAATGATAAATCGTATTTCGTAACGGATACTTTTAAACGACGAAAAGATACCATCAATAAATAATCAACGTATCCAATATCCGATAGGTCAATCAATCACCTTATTAGACTTAAAAAATCAATCAAACATAGCGTGTTACGTTAAAAAGGTCAATGTAATGTAAATTGTTGTAGCTCAGGCGGTTATGTCATTATCGTGGAACGGATTGTGCCTACTACGCATCCCCCCACTGCAACCACCACTAGCAATGCCTCTGCAAAATCAGGTGGTTTTGTTATAGCTAAATTGTTATCTAACCCTAAACGAAATTGATCATAAAGGGAAAGAGGGAGCTTAAAGCTTAAGTAGTCGACACTATTTAAATTTTGCTGGAGACATGACTAAACTATAGCACCATTGTTTAATATCTAATTATGTAATAACCACTTATGTGGGCGATTAATTTACTAGTTGTTATGTTCAATAAAATAATACGTTCTATTCAATAACATTAAGCGTTCAATACTCACCTAGGCCGGTCGAAGTTACGCAAGCGAGGTGTCCCGTCTTCACATCACTCTTTATCTAAATCTACTACTAATTCTACGTCAATAAAATCGTTATAAAATACAAAAAGACGCCATATTCATTTATAAAAACACTCGAAAATATAAGGTGAGAACGATCACAGCATTATTGCAGTCATAGTCACTGGCACGAAATAATTCGCGAAAAAAATGGAACGCGCGTTTGGTTTTTAAATTTTTAAATTTTGGTTAGCGCGATGGTTTCGTTCGGTTTAGGGTTGTGGTTTTGGTTTTTGGTTTTTTGTAAGTTGTTTTTTTATTAGTAGAGATCGTATTTGGGTGTATTTCGGTGGTGTAAAGCGCGGCGCGTGCATTCGGCCGCTCGGTCTGGGGCGGCGGTGAGCGGGCCCGCGCGCAGGCGCGAGTCTTGCACCCCCAGAACAGGCCCCAATCCAGGTCCTGGGGATTCCGATGAAGGATAAGGTGTCTTGGAAAATGCAAGTCAATGAGTATTTTTAAGTACTTTTATAACCTATTTTTATAATATAAAACCAGCCCCGTTGAGCATCGGATATGATTGCTTTCAGTAGTGTTGAATTTCTATGGACAGTCAAACGTTTGGGCTTGTAGGCAACACATTTGTTTATACAAAAATCTAAGTTAAGAAGTCTTAGTTTACTTTGAGTTACTTTCAATTGTAATGTAGGTAGATAGATGTGTAATTGTAGCTTACTGTATTTGATGCTGTCATCTTTTTTATAGAATAAATGCAAAACATACCGTCCCATTTTAATGACAGCATAACCCTTTTAAACAAAATTTGTAGAGAATTTAGTATTCTACAATATTGATAATAAATACAAATAGCAAAAAACCCATAGGAAATGAGATATTTCCAAAAAAAGCGCAAAAAGCCGATTTTTGTGACCTTTGACCTTAAAATTTAATAGTTGCTTACACCCTACCATATGTAGGTTTTGAGACAACTTTTAGGGTGTCAATATACAAGTATTTACAGACTTACAGCTGGGTATCTCGAATTCCGAGATTCTTACCTAATTTAAGCTTAAATGACTGGACTACATATCACACAAAGGCGACAAAAATCAATCGAAAATAGCCCCCACCAGTTTCACTCCTAACTCCGTCCACTCCTGAAAGCTTACACGCTTTTCATTTTCCGGAAAATCTCGACCGCCGCCGAACTTTTCCGAAGGCAGACACGTCTGAAGTTGCACCAAACGTGCGGAGCCCCTACCGATCATTTATACTGCGTAAACGACGTAATCAGATTTGACAGCAGGGCTCAAGGCGCACTGGTCGCGGGCGATGGCACATGCGCTAAGACATCGACGGCAGAGTCTTAGAAAATTCGTTCTTGAATGTCATGTCCTCATTAGATTAAAGGCCTATTCAGATCTAAGCGATATTCGCTACCGTCTGCGGCAGAGAAAACCCAGTGGGTATGCGGTAATAATACTGTTCGGACCTGAGCGGTATTCGCTACCGTCTGCGGCAGAGAAAATCGCTCTAGCCGCGGTACTTGATACTAAATACCTGAGCGAAACCCGCGTGGTATGTACCTCTACCCACAGCGGCAGCGAATATCGCTCAGGTTTGAATAGGCCTTAAGGCTGGGTTGCACGTTACTTTGACTGTAACACACGTCAAAAATCTGTCTAACCCCATACAAAAGCACCGGTTATGGTTTTGGTTAAAGTAAAGGTGCAACTTAGGCGTACAAGCTTGGTGTGGAATACTTATATGGTAGGGCCCAAAAGATAAGGAGACATGTAAAGTGCCCCATAAGGGCTACCTTTTCTTTTTTTATTATTTTCTTTTGACGTTCATAAGTGCCACTTGTGGTCTATATAAATCTAAATATTTTTGATTTTGATTTTGATTTTATGGTATTGATTTGTTTGGTGATGATGATGATCATGTGATTGTAATGTAAGGCGAATTTCATAAGTTTTAGATTAAGTTTATTCGTAATTGGAGATGGTTTTAAAATGAATGAAAATTCGTGAGTGGTTCACTTTGCGAACATTAAGTTTATTTACACGATACGAATCTATGTAAACTACCTATTAAATTACGAGACTTTGGCATTCGATTAGAGACTGATAGTAAATAAATAAGCATAACTTAATACTCGTAACAGACAATTGAAAATAATAGTTTTCCTCAAATACTTGCTTCTTCCATTGAAGTGCGTAAAACAATTATAATATAATATTAATACCTATATACATTATAAGGAAAAAGCCCTTATAATTAAGTCATAATTATAAATAGTATATTATTTACAAAGTAACACAGATGTTTTATGACAATGATGGCTTAATATTATTGTTATCAAACTTATTGTTCTAAATGACTATTAAAATATTAAATATGTTTTCCTCGGTAGGGATATATCACTTGAGAAATAACTGTCCCAGGTGGGACACGAACCCTTGGTCTTCCATTTTCCATCAAACGCTCAGGGATCTGGTAAACCTGAAAATATCAAAACACTTGTTATATTCAACTGTTATTCTACTTACAGTTCTCTACTATACAATATTGAAGGAATTATCCTAATGTGTAATATTTTAATATCATTGTCAGTTACAAAAAAGTTAGTCCAGTCAAAATACGGCATAGAGGGAAACGCGTGGAACACAGTTTTTGACTTCGTGACTTTATTTAGACTAGTTAGGAGGTAAGGCTTCTAAATTGTCATTTTTAGCTTGTGCTCATTTGCTATTTAAGTATGAACTTTTCATATTAAGTTGTTAATGCTTAAATAGAAGATGAGCACGCTCTAACTAAAAAAACTTAATCTAGAAACGATTTGTTATCAAATAGGGTAATAGGGATGTTTCCTGGGTCAAAAAGCAGGAGTTTTAATTAGTTCGTCAGTTAACTTATCAAAAAAATACTCTACACGTATATTTCACTTTTTCAAACTAATGAAAATTTAAAGAGATAAAGCGCGCCAAAGTTCATAAGAAGAGGCCCGTGACGTCAATGCTTGCATAAAAGTGCCGCACGTTGTGACGTCATGCGGAACTTCAACGCACCATAACTATGTAATTGTTAGATTGACAAATAAAAATATGTGTCCTATATTTTTTGATATTAAACATGACGGACTAAAACAATTTTTTTAGGAAACTAGCCTATTATATTACTCACGGTATACTCCAGAGTGCGCGCAATACTCCACCACTTTATTCGCCGCGAATTTTACTAAAATGCACACACCCACTGCCGCCAAAGCTCCCACAACGCCGGCCATCACCTTGTTAGCTACCGCCTTACTCTTTTCAGGATCATATTTGTGAAGGTCACTTATCGTTTCTGTAGTTGTTGCTACATCATCTAGCTCACCAAACAATTCTGCATTCTCTTTATTTATAATGTTGGGATCAGTTGAATAAACATCTTCAGTGGTAATAGTCTCAAGATATGATAAATCAATATCATTCTTTGCGGCGATCGATGTAGCTTCTGTATCCTTATCACTAATTGGTATTGTTGAATTGGCAGTAATTGTTTCTACTTCTGATGGAGTGGAGCTATCTCCTTTATGTGTAGCTGTAGATGCTGTATCAGGTATTTCTTCAGTCGATGATGTATTTTCCCCTACAGTAGATATTTTTGTATCACTTGTAGTAGTTGCAGTGGTCTCGAGATCTGATGTACTATTAACACTCTTTGTGACGAATAATGCAGCTTTTGTATCCTCATCAGTAATTGGTATTGTTGATTTGGCAGTAATTGTTTCAACGTCTGATGGAGTGGGGCTATCTCCTTTATGTGGGACTGTAGATGCTGTATAAGGAATTTCTTCAGTCAATGATGCATTTTCTCCTTTAGTAGATATTTTTGTGTCAGTTGTAGTAGTTGCAGTAGTATCAAGATCTGACGTACTATTAACATTCTTTGTGGCAAATAATGCAGCTTTTGTATCCTCGTCACCAGTTGTCATTGTTGAATTGGCAGTAATTGTTTCAACGTCTGATGGAATGGGGCTATCTCCTTTATGTGTGACTGTAGTTGCTGTATAAGGCATTTCTTCAGTCAATGATGTATTTTCCCCTACAGTAGATATTTTTATATCAGTTGTAGTAGTTGCAGTAGTCTCAAGATCTGACGATTTTTTAACATTTTTTGTGGCGATCGATGTAGCGTCTGTATCCTCATCACTAATTGGTATTGTTGAACTGGCAGTAACTGTTTCAACATCTGATGGAGTGGGGCTATCTTCTTTATGTGTTATTGTAGATTCTGTAGTAGTTGTTTCTTCAGCCGGTTCTGTATCTTCTGTAGTAGATATTTTTGTGTCAGTTGTAATTTTAGGTGTTGATTCTGTTTTCATGTCGATGACAGTAGGTGCTGTACTACTGTCATCTTCAAAATCATCAGTCATCGTAAAAGTTACATTCTGACAGTAAAGATCTAATACACAGGACATATCAAAATCAATTGTTTCTCTGCCCTTATGGAGTTTGGTTATATTCCAGGTTATGTTGGATCTGAAAGTTAAAAATAAAACGTAAATAATCTAGTAGTAAAATGAGTACCTAGTCGGTAGTTATATTAAGCTGAATATCCTACTAACATTATAAATGCGAAAGTTTGGATGTCTGGATGTTTGTTACTCTTTCACGCAAAAACTACTGAACGGATTTTGATGAAACTTCACAGTATTGTTGTTTATAACCCAGAATAATATATAGGCTATAATTTATGACGATCTATGACAAACTAAATTTCACGCGGGTGAAGCCGCGGGCAAAAGCTAGTCTTCAAATAATTAATTTTTATTTCTTTCTTTCAAAAGTAAATAAGATGGGTTACAAAGAAGGTTCGATCCTATTGCAGTACAATAGAAATAGGAGACATAAGTTTTTGAATCCAAATTCAATTTTTTTTTCAAATTCAAATCCAATGAAAAATTATGTATATCCAATAAACAAATTTTGTTCAACTATTATTAACTTATATAAATACATATAGTACCTACTTACTCGTATATTACAACTTACTTTTGAATAGGTTCGTACAATGATCCGGCGTGGCCATCAGTAGAGTTTAACATAATTATATAGTAATTTTCGCATTTAGCGAAGCAAATTGCAGGAATACTGACCATCTGCAAAATATAATCTATTTTTAAACTCTTAAAACACACTTTATTGATCGTTCTCATAGCACGTAGAAAATTAATACAAATACAAATATTATATTTAAGCAAACACTCCGTTTACGCATACACATTCACATACAATTAGAATTATTAGGGGCAGCTTTATTAATAATACTCACAAAACTAAAAATCATCACACTAATATAACATTTCAACTTGAACATTTTGAATTCACACAATGCCACTACAATTTAATACTTTTTAATTTAAATAAACTCTAATAACACGCAATAAGTCAACTGAGTGGATCTCTCATTGTCAGTGTGTCGACTATTAATAATATAATTTGTAACCGAGTTAATTATTATTATCCTCAGTGATTCAACATGTAAACCACTATTTTAGTAATATGTTCAAAATAGTTTCATTAGAAGGCAAGTTTGGTTTGGATATTACTTTTACCTTGTTTTGATGATAATTAATGTCAACTATAGACAGCAATTGAAAAAACGAACAACCATAATATTTTGTTGTTATACTAATAGGTATAAACTCTAAACTCTATACCTATGGTATGGTATGGATAGTTTCACCCACAAAGACGCGCCCTATCACTTTTTGGTTGAGGGAAGCGCGGTGTGCATCATAGGTGTATCATAAAAAGCATATCCATCCATCCAAGTTAGTATGTAATTATTTGATTAAGTTTGAAATATAAAAGTTTTGTTTAATTTTGATCAGCATCACACTACAAAAGCTTTATGGGTCATATGACGGTGGCGCTTCGAGACGAATAATAAGATTGATAGCCAGTTCTTCTGTGGTTTGAGAATTCCGAGTGAAGCTCGATTCCACCTTCAGCATGTGTGGTTGTGTTCCCCAGTCGATGAAGCACTGATGTCATGCCCTGCATACCCAAACAAATGCACGCAGGAAGATTTAATGAATGCTACTGACAACGCCACTCTAGTAGCGGAGTTTTGGGCAGATATAGGTTTGTTGTCGACACGGCAAGAAGAAGAACTTCGGCCTGTACCTCTAGCATGAACAACTTTTGTCTTCGAATCGTTTGCGTATTCGATAAAATTCGATACTCAACTTTCAAATTAAACGATAACGCGACAATTTTGATTCTTACAATAAGTTTCGTGCAACCATTTCTCACACTAAGTTCACTTTACGACACGTTCACAAGGGCGCTGTTGTAGTTTTCGTACTAAACCTTTTGATAGCGATTCGAGTACGCAAACGATTTGAACTCGAAAGATTTTCGTGCTATCCGTACTGATTATCACTTTCCTTCAGACCAGGAGCCTTCATCTTTGGAGATAACAAAACAGATAATTTTTTTTCAAGACACGTTTTTTTTCGTGAATTCGCAATTCGTTTATCACAGTTAAAAATAACAAGAGCGTTTTATCAGCGGCATCTTCTGGCGCAGTCGGGTAAAAACAAAAATCCAGTGACTTCAATAGTCCGTTATCGCATCCGTAACATTTCACCCGCGGCGCAGTGGTTGACCCCACTTTCTGTGAACTCTGTCTCTTTTATCAGTTGAACCGATGGTCGGTTTGTCTGTTTGTAATTGTTTTTATTTTGATAGTGATCTCAAATATTTTTCTTTTTTAACAAGCTTTATATTGACTTCGCTTGTTATTACTATTTATTTAACTTCATATTTAGAAGTAGACGTCATTTGGCTGTAACGAACGAACTACCTATTTAACGTTTGTTATTTATCAAAACCATAGCAAAATGGGATCGCTATTTTTTTAATCAATCACAATCTCAATTCGGAGGTCTAAAGATTTACTAAGAAGCCCCCCGATTTAGAGGTCCTGGATTTTATTGGATGAAAAAAGAGCGATTTGGTCAGTAAAACTTATTTTACTAGGGTTGAACCATCTTACTTTAACTTTGACAAACGTCAAACAACTGTCAAACCCCAAACAAAATACACCGGTTATCGTTATAGTTACGGTCAAAGTTAGCTCGTGCAACTCAGCCTAAGTTACTTAATGTCAGTAAGGACTAAACGACTCGTTTCGTTATAGAATTTAGATGCAGTTACAGATCTCATGTGTAAGAAATGTATTTTGGTATAACAAATAATGAGGGCTATCGTTTTTATACTTAACAGTTGGCACCCCTGGCGATTGACAAGACCTTACTCTACAGTGGCGCCATCTTGATGAGTGCAAATGCGATAGTCCTTCTACCACTTTAGCGCTCACCAGTTGGTGCCACTGTCTTCGCTACTAGCAAGTGACAGGACCTTACTCTACAGTGGCGCTAACTGGTGAGCGCTAAAACGATAGCCCTCATTACATATAACGTTTTAGTATGCAAAATCAATGTAGAGCAGCCAACCATTAGTCGTAACCAAGTATGTTCTTGATAGCATGTTTCTTATAATAGAAAATTTGTAGCTGTGTACAGACCACGTCAAAACTGGCATCTTAACCTGTTGCAATAAGACATAGTTTGCAACAAACCTGTATAGTCTGATGTGCCTCTGTTGTCAATTCCCGCCGCCAGATAGCCCGTGATTGACTGGGAGTGATTGACACCAGCTCGTGACGTCAAACATGGAGATATATGATATTGCACCAGCTGTAGTTTAGGGATAAGTGTATGAGTATAGGGAAACGGAATTTACCCAGAAGTAATACAGTATCCTTTTGTAAAATTACAGGAAAATTGTCTCTAGTTCTCTACATTTCAGACTTTACCCGATTAGGCATAGTCATACCGTTCGTCTACTTACATATACATATAATTACCTAAACCAATCATATATTGAAATAATTAAGCAATTTAGTCATAGATGAAATCTAAGATCTAAAAGATCGTTGTTACTAAATGAAATAGGCATAGAATTCAGTTATTAAATACAATTAAAAAAGAATTAACAATGTCTATAATAGTCTATATTATCTAAAAATTAAGTACAATATGTAGAAATATACTAACAGTAGGTACCATTGAATAGGAGTTAAAAATCCAAAGACGTTAATTGCTGGACAAAGATCTCCCCTAAGGATTCCCATAGCAACCGGTCCTACGCTTAAAAATGTACAAAAATAGGTTTAAGAAAAAATAAAATAATGCCCGTTTTCACCATCAATCCCTAATTTTTAAGGGACCTCTATGTAACACATAACAGGAATTTTGTTTTCATAGGGGTCACTAAAAATTAGGGATTGATGGTGAAAACGAGCATAATGCCCGTTTTCACCATCAATCCCTAATGTTTAAGTGAAACCTAACCTATGGTAACATAACAACACATATCAGGCATTTCGTTTTCATAGGGGTCACTTAAAAATTAGGGATTGATGGTGAAAACGGGCATAAGTCTCTCAAAAAGCTGTGTAAAACTCAAAACTATTTTCACTGCCAAACATACTCGCATGATTTCATTGTATGTTACTAAATCAAACGACTAACAAAACTAAAGGGAGCTTTCAAACGTTCAAAATAAGAGATGTATTCCATTGTTTTGTGTATAATCAGCACTTCATATTAATGATATGGACATTTTAAGTAGATTCAGATAGCCTCTTCACACAGTAGCCGGGTGTACAGTATAATGGTGGTGTCAAAAGGAATGTAATTGCGCGCAAAATTTGACAGCTTTTCGAATCTGAAAATGGAACTAAGTTTTTTTTAAACGGCCAGCGTCTGTAGTGGATACTTAGCTCTTTTATATTTTTTTGTGAAAATGTTAAGGTTGCCAGTGCTTTGTTTAGTGGTTTTGAGCGCAGTTATAGTGCGGGAAGTGACGACTTTGAATGCCGGTGACGTTGGAGTATGCATGACCAAAATAAGGTGCGTGCGTACTTACGATTGGTTTTGTTATCCTTGAGCTACAAATACAATGCATTGTGAGGAAGAGTGTCACAAGTATTTAAGTACTTATTATTATTCTTGGACTTTATGCTACGAGTTTTAGGTTTTTATTAGAGTTAAGATAGTCCCTTAATTTTTATTGACTACATACTTATTATCCTTATTAGCTTAACATTATGGCTCCTGTTGGAAACCAACATGAAGGTTGCAATACTTTTTACTTAATAAAACAAAAAAATAGTAATATAAAATACAAAACATAATCGACACTCTTTTGTTTGACATATTAATATATTAATTTTAATAACAATGCCTGAAATTAAAGTTCAATAGAGCTTTAAAATAAAAACAACATTTAAAATTAAATAACTTATTTTTGATCAATAGAAGCTTTGAATATAAAATGGAAAACTTTCAAGAAGAGAGTCGAATTTTCCGTAATTAGAGATCAATCACAACTTGGAAAATAATTAAAAAAAAATGGTTTGAATGAAATCTATTTATTAGTGACTTCAAATATAACAATTATGTACACAATTACGTAATTATTATCTGCCTTTTGGTGCGCATTTTTGGGGTAGGTTTTTTTTATCTGTATGTTAGTGCAATGCCATCAAAATACTTTAAAAAACGCAGGAAGTTTTAATGAATGTCACTCTTGTAGCAGAGTTTTGGGCTGACACTGTGTAGGTTTGTTGTCGACACGAGAAGAAGAAGAACATTTTCAAAATACTTCATTTTCCATAGCTCCCGGACGAGCAAAAGGGTGACGTTCACGAAGCTCAGCAACAAATGGTGCGGCAAGAGAAAGTGCGTCGTACGGGTGGCCAGGATACAGGTTAGTTTAGTTACGATTACCAATAACAAAATGTAGAGCTTTAACATTGCAGTTAATGTAATGTGTCAAACTGTTATTGAGATAAAGGTTTTTTAGATTGTTTTATAAACAAATTTTGAACTATAAATGTAGAATGGCCGATTGTTTCTTGAATATTTGCGAGTTAAAACTTTTAGGTTGAGTTGCACTACTAGCTTAGATCGTAACTATAAATAACGATAAGCGGTGCTTTTTGTATGGAATTTGACAGATTTTTGTCATTTGTCAAAGTTAAAGTAAGATAGCGCAAACCAGCCTTAGCCTATGCGCAGACCACCGATTTTTTGTCGGCCGATAGTTTAGTCGGGCAGTTAATCAGGATGGGCATGTATGTAAGTGCGCACATTACACCGATTTGGTGTCGGCCGATTCTTCATACAAATAAGAATCGGATTCAATTATTGGCGAACTAAAAGGTGGTAGTCTGCGCCCAGGCTTAGTTATTTAAAACTTTTCTGTTTTTTTTTTTATATTTTGATCACTTTCGTACTATGGGAAGAAACTATTCTGTATGAATATTTTAGAAAAATTGTGTTTATTAAAAAAAACCTTTTTTTTATAATTTTTAGCCAGTAGTGGAGGTGCACGATCGACTGATATGCTGCAGTGGCTTCCAATACCAAGCCGAGAGTGATGACTGCGCGCCTCTGTGCACCACGGGCTGCCTCGGCGGCCGCTGTGTGGCCCCCGACGTCTGCCAGTGTGACCCACCAGCTTACCTCGAGCCTGGACACCAGAACACCTGTGTCCACCCCGTCTGTGACCCCCCCTGCCTCAATGCAGACTGCACGTCCAACAACACCTGCACCTGCCACCAAAACTTCCAACCTTTCAACTCTACCCACTGCCACAACTGTGGACCAGGGTACTCTGTCGCCCCCAACTTGACTTGCAACCCCATTTGCGACCCTGAATGCGACGGGGAATGCACTGGGCCCAACGTCTGCTCCTGTTCCCCTGGGTACATTGCTGTTGGACACAAGTGCGAGCCAGTGTGTGACCCAGTGTGTGTAAACTCCAAATGCGTAGCTCCTAACTCGTGCTCCTGCTTCGACGGCTACTCTGCAGTGAACCGCTCTTACTGCGCACCTGTGTGCGAGCGTTGCGACACGAAATGTACCGCTCCGAACGTGTGTGAGTGCTTCGAAGGCTATGAGCACATCGACGGGACTTGCAGGCCGATCTGCAACTCCAGTTGTGAGAACGGCTACTGTTCCGGCCCGAACGAATGCTCATGCAACGAGGGGTACAAGAAGAATGAAACCACGGGGGTGTGCTCCAAGCCTTGCGAAAAGTACTGCCCTGGCACGTGTACTGTACACGGAGAATGCCGCTGTGTTGTTCAATCAACGTGAGTATTGTAATTCTAATCTTTACTAGTAACAGTGGCGGCGTAGCAATAATAATGGCACACGGGGCGATCTTTAACGCCAACGTAAAGTCGAGGGGACCCTTAACCTTAATCGATTAAGCAAGAGGAAACTGACATGAATTTAATAATGACCAGTCCAGTCGCAGCTTTGCCCGCGTTTATGGTTTGTCCCATAAATACCGGGACAAAAACTATCCCTAGTCTTTCCCTGGGTTTCAAACATCCTTTTATCAACCTTTCATCTAAATTAGTTCAGTGGTTTAAGCGTGAAAAAGCAACAGAGTAGATAATTTTCTCATTTGTAAAATTAGTATCCATATCGGTTTTTATAAAAATTACTTGAATTATCGAAAGCCGCCGGGCGGGCTTGGTGTATAGAGTCTTTAAGTAATCTGCTAGCAATTACAATACAATGTAATTATGCGGCGTAAGATCAGGTGTCTCATCGCCAGCGTATGGCACCGCGCAGGAAGCCAAGATGCGCCCGCGCATGCCAAATCGTGCGCATTGTCGCTCATTACGCATATCCTGCGCGTACAGTCAGCGCCAAATAGTTCGTGACGCCCAAAGTGGCCAAAAAGCTGATAACACATTCTTATTCCAATTGTAACAAAGCGCGAAACTTTTTGGCTACTTTGGGTGTCACGAAATATTTGACGCCGACAGTATCTCCACGCATCAGGTCACCCGCGCACAGCAAAGCTATGTTTTTGCCAAAGACATTGTTCTTACCCAAATCCGTTAGTGAAATAATTAATTTAAATAAACGGGCTGGAAGACGTAGTGTGGGCAGGCCTCCTACTAGGTGGACCGACGATCTGGTAAAGGTCGCGGGAAGAGCCTGGATGCGGGCAGCGCAGGACCGTTCATTGTGGAAAACCTTGGGGGAGGCCTTTGTCCAGCAGTGGACGTCATTTGGCTGAAACGAACGAACGAACGAAACTGCCGGAAGAAAAAATATTTCAAAATTCAATCCAGTGACTTGGACCGTGGACCAAGCTAAAAGTCGGCCAAGTCGCTGGAAGGCTCACAGAAGATAACACCTTGACACAGTGATAACCTGTCGTCAACGACTTTGAAACGTCAAGTGGCAAAAATCAAAAACTAAAAACCCACTATTAATAGTAGAGCCCTCCTGTATACAGGGTGGCCAAAACAGTGAGGTCTAAAAGAAAAATTTAGATTCCGTACATCAAGGTGTATCTAAATCACCCATGTATGTTCTAAGATTTTGCTTAGTTTAGGAGATAGAGTTAATTTTGTGATATTTTAAAATTCTATGACCTAGTTAGTAGGCTTTAATTTTTTTAAACTTTTTTTGGGTTCTGGAAATAAACTAAGCATACATATTACATGGGGGTGATATAGATACACCTTGAATCTAAATTTTTCTTTTAGAACTCTTTGTTTTGGCCACCCTGTATGTCATAATTATATTAATAAGGTTGTCCAACGTGGCAATAATAGAAACTAATGATCAGTGTTGATAGCAGCGCCCTCCTGACAATGTGACGCTGGGACGCGTCCCAGCTAGAAGGTTCAGTGTAGGACATCTACGAGTATCAATGAGGGCTATCGTTTTTATACTTAACAGTTGGCACCCCTGGCGATTGACAGGACCTTATTCTACAGTGGCGCCATCTTGATCAGTGCAAATGCGATAGTCCTCCTATCACTTTAGCGCTCACCAGTTGGTGCCACTGTCTTTGCGGCTAGCAAGTGACAGGACCTTACTCTACAGTGGCGCCAACTGGTGAGCGCTAAAACGATAGCCCTCATTGGTCATTGGTAAATTGCCAATGTATTTTATTTATTTACATCACGGAGGCTCACTCTGTTGATGAAACTTTGGCGAATAAAGATAATGACATTTAATAGTTCCGAACATTTCCCAGAGATGGCGTCTGAAGTTTCGAATTGATGCCTTAGTTAGAGGAAAACATTAGCTATACAATTAATATATCAATAATCAATAATTAAAATATACAAATTTTATAAAAAAGATAATTCAATTTTGACATAAAACTGAGTTAGGTAATTTTCAATTTCTTGTATATTTTTAGCTTTTAAATCAACACATTGTTAGTCAATTGAGTTCTCGAATTAAATGACTTTATAATCAGGTTTCCCATACAAAATCTACAGGAATAAAAAAGTATGTCAATCAGGCGTACTAACTACCCTTATTCAAAAACTTTGAAGATTTAAAGGAATGTTTGAATTGGAGCTCGAAAATATGTTAAATGTAGTTCTGATCGTCTGCGAGAGATGGCGTTAGGAGTAACGAAATATGTCATTAAACCGGTAGTTAGTCGTGATTCATAACTGAACCTAAAAGCTCACTGATGATACTTTGGTTGGTGGTTTACTTTGTAAACATTAATGTTTAACTTCATATGAAGTTTTACATAAAAATGAAAAATAAAATAGATGCAGAATCTGGGGGCACGGCAGTGCCCCCACCAAGTCGAGCAAAAAAGCGGCACGGCCGTACCATCCTTTTCTCGAAGCAATTCAGGCCATTTTCGACTGCCTGTAACTTCGTTGTGGATAAAACTAGAAGGCTGAATTTTCATTAGCTATGCAGGCATTGTAAAGACACGGTATATTTAAAATTTCATTCAATTTGAACCAGTAGTTTAGGAATTGTAACGGGTCAAAGTTACTTAATTTTGTCACTCACTGACTCACTGACTCACCGATCATCAAAATTCTAAGGCACTTCTAGCAGACCTAGAAGCTTCAAATTTGGAATATAAGTAGTGTTTGGTGTATGAATCAAGGAAAAACTAAAATATTTGGGGGCACGATAGTGCAACCGCCAAGTCGAGTAAAATTTTTCAATTTCGGTCCAGTTTTCTAGATACATAACTGCTAACTGCTGTCTACAAAAAAATACAAAAAGAAATGAGATCCCATCAAAAACAATACTTGTCAAAAAAACCAAGTCTCGCAACTCAGTTGTTCTACGGTAAAAAGTTGTGAGATCCATGTAATACCTACCAAGTCCAGGCTAGGAAATCTTTAACATTTTATATAAATATATTGACTTGGCCATCGCATGAAAACACGTGTAAATTAAATTATTTAGTGCGATGGCCAAGTCAATATATTTATGTAACACGTTAAAGATTTCCTGGCCTGGACTTGGTATTACATGGATCTCACAACTTTTTACCGTAGAACAACTGAGTTGCGAGACTTGGTTTTTTTGACAAGTATTGTTTTTGATGGGATTGAATCTTTGTTAAACTATGTTTTCCTAGTACAGATAGGTAGGTGTTAGGTATCTAGCTTTGTGCTATCTGGCTGAATAATATAATTTTGTGGAAAAAACAAAAAAAAAATGTTGTTGTATAAGCCTAGGCGCACACTACGGATTTTTAGTTGGCGATTGGGCCCAATTTTAATTTGTATGAAGGATCGGGCGATACCAAATCGGTGTAATGTGCGCACTTTCATACATGCCCATACTGATTAACAGCCCGACTAAACTATCGGTCAACAAAAAATAAATATATTTGTACAGTTATAACTTTCAGTGTAACTGAAAGCTCCTCTGCTTTTCTACGAGATGTTCATCATTATACTCGTAGTACACCGTTGTACACCAGATAAATGGTTGGAAGGACACAATATCGGCACAACTACTTTAGTTGCCAGATTCAAAATAATGCATGGGCAATAGGGATGATGACTGTTTAATGAAATATAAATTCTATTTAGTCCGTCAGACAGATAATTAGAAAATATTTGACTCGTATTTTTTATTTTTTTCCATAATCGAATAATTACAGTATTATATTAATTGACATGTCGCTCATTTGAGTAAAAATTCTACTCAAACGTGACGTATCGCGCCATCTCAACTCGATGTAGCACTGTTATTATTTAATTATGAAAGAAAATTAAAAATATGAGTCTAATATTTTCTAATTATCTGTCTGACGGACAAATAATTGAAATTTTGTCATCTAGCCTATTACATGTGAAGCAGTCATGTTGGTTAGGTACATTGCGTAGTTACAGGATGTTTCAAGATTAGGAAGCTTTCAGGTATACAATATTTAGAAAACAAATGTCACTCCCTAGTATATCTAAGTCATATAAAAGGCAGTGGGCGAGGCATATGGCTCGCAGAGTTGATGGCCGCTGGGGCAGAAAAGTTCTCGAATGGTGACCATGGGCCGGAAGACCTAGTGTGGACAGGCCCCCCACTAGGTGGACCGACGATCTGGTGAGGGTCGAGGTGCCTGGATTCGGGCGGCGCAAGACCGAAATCCTTGGGGGAGGCCTTTGTCCAGCAGTGGACGTCATTTGGCTGAATGGAACGAATGAAAACGCTATAAATTAAATCAACTCTCCCATAAAACCGGGTAAATGGCTCTTTAGCGTCACTGATCCATTACCCCGGTCCAAGGACGTGTGCGTTGTTAATTAAACAGTTATCCTGTCAACAAGCTATCGCACCCATTAAAGCTTATCAAATAGGAAAAATACATAACACGTGTTTTGTTGCGGGCGACATAGCAGCTATGGTGTGTCTATGTATTCATAACCGAGTCTATATTTTAATGCTAGTTTTGGTTTTTATAATAAAATTAGCAATGTTTCTTTCTATCGCAAATATACTCGGAAAATGAGGGCTATCGTTTTTATACATAACAGTTGGCACTACTGGCTAGTGACAGACAGGAGCAGGACCTTACTACCAAACTGCTATTTCAGGTGTTTTTAAACATTATTTGTTTTTAAGACATGTAGAGATTCACCTAGTAAATCATACGCAATAGTATTGTAATAATTTGGACTACAATCTTACTGATTAAAGCTGTATTTGTGTATCGATATGTGTTTTAAATTAAAAAATATTTTGAGAAAGACACCGGTGAGTGGATCTCTGAATCATGCAAAACAACTGGTGATAAAATTACGTCCCGCATCCGGCACAAATGTATAACTGGTTGGAGGGAATATGT